ATTTTCCCTCTCTGTGCTGTTTGATGCCTCCTCTCCAGGCTCCAGTTACTCCTAGTATCACTTCTGTCATAACATTTAATAAATTCTGAATTTCTTGCTAGTCTACTTGTCTGTTTCCCTTCATTATTCTCTAGCTCCACCACTGCCAGCATTTAGTCCAGAGCTCAGCACTGACTGATTCACAATAAATATTTGATGAGGAAATTCCCAATACCTCAGAGTTGACAAAATACTTCTACAATACAAATAAAGGCCATAGCTAGTGTTTCCAGTCTAAGTGAGCTTTGGGTGTCATAATATAAAACTATATTCTTTACTTTAAAAAAAGAGTCACTGTTACTTTAAAAACCTAAGCGTTATGTTCTAATGTGAAATTTTCTGTTTTCCTCTTTAATACGCCATACAAAAATAACCTAAGATGATTAAGTAGAAATTTGTGGCATATTTGAATAATTTTATCCACTTTTCAAAAAACAACCAGTTTCTGCTGACACTTGGTATCTTAACCTTAGATACTGAGAAACTTGCTGAATTTCTAGTGTCTAAATAATTTGACTATGGTTATGTTTTTTAACTCAACAGTAGACAACATGTACAATTACTTCCCTTTGGTTGCTTACTAGAGTTTGAATAAATTCCTGTCAAGAAATCCTGTTAATATATATGGGACTAATGATCAGTTTGCAACATGGCTCACTTGAAAAATGTAAAATGAGGAACAGAGTCCTCTACTCTTGTCCCATAATATGATTTCAGTGAGTATATGTTCTTGCATGATGAGCAAATGACTGTCATCCCATAAAGTCTCAAGGGACAGGGATGTCATCTTAATAAAGAAATTAAAAGGTACATCTTTTCATGAGAAACCACGTCAATTCGTGACCTGTCGCAGAAAATAGTTCTCTAATTGGTTATGTGTGGTGGTGCTGCGGAATCATTTCCCCTAGACGTCACCCCAGCAAAGCAGCACTGTACATCATTGTCAACAGCTAGTGAGATCTCCCTAATAAGGCAGGAGGGATGTAATGCGGTCGTCTTCATACAATACAAAGCTGGTCAATATTCTACTCTTCCTAATAGTTTCAACTTGAGGTTTTAAAAAATTCTCTTGAAGAACAAGCTAAGCTTTGAGATTAAAAGCTTATAATTATGGAAAATTTCTTTAAATTTTAAATTTATCTCATATTGGTTGACTGGGCATTTCTATTCCAAAGAGTCAAATAGTTGTCCTGAATTCTCATGATGTGTCTCTGTACAGCACCAAATATCTAAAATGCCAACAACAAAATTCACTTTAAAATCATCCAGATGTCAAACTTCTTGTGTCTTGAGACATCAGGGTGAATGACCTAATTTTTTTTTTAACATTTACTGACATACTTTGCATCATGTTGCTTCACCTTCCTAAAGAATTAATTTTGAAGAAAGTGTTAAGGCTGTTGAGCTAGAAAGGATCATGTGCAGGTTATACAGGAATACTAAAGTTAGTATCGTAAGACCCAGTCCACTCCTAAAGATGGAAGAGAATGAAATGATTGGCAAAGAAGACATTAAAAATTTTTCTTCATTTCAGATTTACTGCTCAAAAGGATGATTATATGTATGTATATTATTTATAAAGTTTAATTTTTTTAGGTTTTATATGTAGTGTTTATATTATTTATTTTTATTTTTTGCCGAAGTGAGCCCCATTTTGCCATTTATGTTTTAGACAAATGAAAAGCCTGAAATTTCTTAAATCAATATTTCACATCAACTGCTGACAGCATTCTTTTCTCTTTTGAAAACATGGCAAAGGATATTGTTTCTACCTTGTGATCTTTGTAAACGAGGTAACTTGCCTATTATCACTTGACATTCATTTACATAAAATCACATTGGAGCAAAAGTTATTTTGCTCCAAGAATACATGGCCTTCAGAATAACTTTTTTGATTTCCTTTGTTAAGAAATGTAAGTTCATTTTATGAATGTATATGTGTTTTCCTAACTGTCTGATTAAAGATTACAAAGAAATTCTCATTTGCATCTCACATTAGCAGATGGTGGACAGATGGTTTAAATTAATATTAATTTTGGAAAACTTAGCTTAAATTGTTTATACTGAAAATTAAAAGTTGGAAAGCCAACTAACATCTCCAGAGTTATTAGTACTTCCAAACCCACTTGAAAAGTAAAATCCAGAAAATTAAAACATCTACTTTTAAAACACTCCACATCTTATTCAGAAAGATAGTAGTAGGTAAAACACAATGCTTTGATATTGAAAATTAAAATATGAATGAGAAAAAGAAACTACAAACTCTGGAGTGTAAAGAGTCTTGAAAAGAGGGAGAATTTTATAAAAAATGAATTGCTTTAAACTAAGCAGAAATGATTTTTTTTGAAGAACCTATATGCTTTTTTTTTTAATTATTAATGATTGGTTGTTAACCAGAACCATTTTTCCACATTTAGCTTTTACTCCTTTAGTTTGAAATGAACCTCAGTTTCTTTCCATATCTTCACCCACAAGGAGAGAGAGAGAAAAAGAGAGAGTGTATTTGTGATGAATGGTAAATAAAAACTCTTAACGTGTATGCAGCCTCTACTTCAGTAGGCCAGTGGCCAGAAGCTTGTGTTTCATGGCTAAATACAGTTTTGTCTTTCCACTGAGATTTTGATGAATATAGAAAATTGGTTGGAAAATTTTCAAAGTATTCCCTAAAAATTGTGTGTTTTACAAAATAAACCTTTTATACATTCTCTGAATTTTAGGGACTAATTTAAAAAGTTGACCTAAAGATTTTTTAACAAAATCATTTTATTTACTGCAAGGAGAAAAGTATGAATCACCACCTGTAAAAATGCAGTTTTGCCTAAAATTGTATCTCCTGCAAAATAAGAGAACTGACTCTTTTTTCAATTATTTCTCAGGCAGATGCTGGCAATTTTGTTTAATTAAGATGCTATGGTAAAGCAGGTGTCATAAAATATGCCCAAATCCAGTTGAGAGTTCTTTTTGCTCTCTCAGGGGTAAAAACTCCAGTATACTTTGTAGACGGAGCTTTAGGATCTGACCAGAAGAATACCCACTAGCTTTACCCTCATTGCTAGATTGGCCTGCCTTATTAAATAAATCAAGGAGAAATAGAGTCAATAAAATTCAAGCCATGTGATTTATTTTTAGAAAAAAATCATAGCACATGTGTATTCACATACATTAAAACTTAAATTATGTTTTAAAATTGTAAAACAAAAACATTTATCCTGTTTCTAGGATGAGGTTGAAAATTATTCAAAACTTCATCCTAAATCTTATACCAAATTGAGTTTGATTTCTGTGATGCTGTTTGAGTTACCATAAGTAACAAGTGAGAAGTTGTTTATCTAAGAAAGCTATGCATAACATACACACACATGCACACAGAAGCATGATGAGGTGAAGAGGAAAGTGTAGATGATCCTACAAACTTCCATATCTAATTATTTACTGTTTGCTGGGAGACAATAGGCATTAAGTTTATAGCAGCATCTAAACTTAATGTGTATTCTTGGAAAGCAAAGACTTATTAAGTGCCATTATTAAACACTACATGCATAATACTTCTAATTAGAAAGAGTCTCAAAACAGCATTCCAGGGAGGGGAAATCAGCCCTGTGTAAGGAAGAGAGCAGTGCATGGACATGACTTCTTGTCCAGGCTCTGCCATTAAAATGGCAGCATGGTCTTGGCCCTTAACTATTTTGGCTTGCTTCAGCTTTCTCAATTGGTAAACGGTGGGCTTGGGGTGGGGAGAGTGAGCTAGGAACTGTCCAAGGACCCTGACAGTTTTGAGAGACAGACCATAGTATGACTCTGTTCCTCAATGTGCCTCCTTCTAAGAACCACTTGAAGCTCTTGTCAAATATAGAAACTTGTAGATCCCACTTCCAAGCCTTATGAATCATGATCAGGCAGGCATCTGTATTGTTACCCAGACTCTAAGTCTTTAATTGGGTAAAGATGAACAGCACTGATACATGAAAAAAAACAGTCATTCATCTCCTCCAAGAACCCTTATGGGTAAGTCCAGGCAAACTAAAGCAGATTCCATTTTCTGCTGCCTTTACATTGTGTTCACACCTCTGCTATATCACTAACCATAATGATACAATGATTCCTTTACATCTTTATATCGCAGGAGGAAAGAAGTCCAAACAAGTGACAGATCTCCATAAATACTGAATGAATGGATGAATGGATTCTAATTTGGAATCCTTTTTCAGTCACAAATCAGTATGTGACCTTGACATGTTACTAAATCTTCCTGAGCCACTAGTTTCTCACCTATAATAAAGAAAATGCTGGCATTTGTGATTTGTTAGTATAGCACTAGACATTCATTTGTGAGTACCTGCTTCATACCACATCTTTATTTATTTGAGTGAAAATGATTATATCCAACCAAAGCTAAGATGACACCAGGAATGAAATAGCTCTTTATGAAGCTCTTTATAAACAGTAATGCAGTGGCATCTTAACAGTTTGGTTTGTTTTTTGTGTGTGCTTCTTTTCTGTTTGAATTATTGGGGAGAAAATACGAGAAGTGGTAAGTCAAAGGATTCTTAGGATATTTGAAGGATAATTTAAATATTTGAGTGCTTAGCTAAAATTAATATTTGAACTACACTATCATTTTAAAAGTCATCTAGAATTCCAGAATATTTAACTTCAAGCTTCCAGAGTGTTTTTCACCATCCTCCATTCTAAAAGGAAACGTGTCCTGAACCTTTGAATGAAATGAATTATTAAACTTTGCACTTTTCTAAATGTTAATTACCGAGGTCTTTCTTTGAATCACTATGTTGTGCATCTGAAACCAAGATGGATATTGTATATCCACTGATTGTCAATAAATAAATGAAACTAAAAATTTTTAAAAAGGTCTTTCAAATTTGATTAAAACATTTTCAAATTTCAGGTATTTTCTGTTGTCTTTTGCTTCCACATGAGCTCATATTCTCATTTCTTTCTTTCAGGAAATTACTTTACATTTATCCTGGACTCTTTCCAGTACCACTTAGTGATGAAAAATCACAATTTAAGCTTTCGAATATTTAGTAATAAACTGCTGGAGACAGTATTTTCCATCAAAAACTTGATGTACAATGATGACCTGAATGATGAGCTTCATGTCTGCTATCAATTTTTACAAGGGAAACCTTTTGACTTAGTCTCAGAAAACATGATGCAGAATTTAAAACAAGTTTTTGAAGCCCAACTATTAAAAACTACAAGTTGGGATGTGGCATACCTGTTGCCATTCTGCAGCTCAGTAATATTTGACATCACATTTATTACCCTGTATGGAAAATTTATTGCTGGTGACAGGAAAAAAATTATTACTGAGTTAAAAGATGATATGTTAAAATTTAATGACAAGTTCCCATATTTGGTATCAGGCATACCCATTCTAGGAAATGCCAAGTTTCTTCAAAAGAAAATTACAAAACAATTTATGCCAGAAAAGTTAGCTAAGCTACAAGGATGGGCAGAAGTAATTCAAATGAGGCAAAACATCCTGGAGAAATACTATGCACTGGAGGACCCTGAAATGGGAGGTAAGAAACTTCCAAATGATTACTTGTCTAAAATAAAATAATGTACAATAGACCTTTGAAATAAAAAGATAAAATGGTGACCTTGAAAATTTTTATGCTCTTTCTAATTGGCTAATGATAAAATGTTTTACTCTGAAACAACCCTCTGTGATAATTGATTTTTTTTTTTTTTTTTTGCTGAGGTGGTAAAACAAGATACTTAATGGCGATAATGAGAAAAGAGTATAACTAAGCTGCATTTACTCCTCTTATCTCATCCCCCACTTCTCCACCCCCAACCAGCACATTACATTTTAAACTATTCTCATTAAGCAGAAAATTAGACTTCAGAAGCCTATTGGTCCTCATTAGCATGCACTGATCCTTGGCTGGGTCTGTGTCCTAACATCTTTTAATTAGCACACTGCAAATCTAATCAGTGTAATAAACGCTATTAATCTTCCTTTTCACTTATTTTCTCCTAGCACATCATTTCGCCCTTTTCTGGGCCTCTTTGACAAACACTATTCCAGCTATGTTCTGGGCGATGTATCACCTTCTGCGGCACCCAGAAGTTATGGCGGTGCTGCGTGAGGAAATTGACCATTTGCTGGAGTCAACAGGTCAAAAGAAAGGGCCTCACTTTTCCATCCACTTCACCAGAGAACAATTGGACAGCCTGATCTACTTAGGTAATTTATTTTTAGCTGTTATGAAGAAAAGAAGGTACCTCTCTGCAAACTCAGTTTATCCCTCAACGCTGTTTACCAAGAGGTGGAGAACACAGCTGCCTAATTGACATAATAACACCCATTTACATCAATTATAAATTATGTAGTTTATAGCTGTAGATACTCTCATTACATGTAAACATTAAGGCCTAGGTAATTAACTATGCAAGGTATGCAAAAGGCTAAACCAAAGCTTTACAATTATTTGAAAAAAAAAGTTAATGCCTTTTAAGTTATTTGATTCTGAGCATCTGTTGATGAGCTAATGCTTTCCAAACACTGCTGCACTATCTTCACAAGAATGATACTTGGGGATTGCAAAAGAAAGCATTTCAGAAAGGCAACTTGTGTGCAAAATGTATTTATTCTTCCCTAAAATAGTATCTCTTTTTCAGGTTGAGTTAGGATGTTTTATATGGCCTGAAGGATATTATTCTCAAAAATGTAGGAAAAGTGATTCTGACCAGAAGTTCTTCTGGGGTAGAAAACAGAGGAAGAGAGGAAGGGAGGGAAAAGAAAAAGTAACAAATAAAAGTACTCCACGTGAAATGTCAATGTTTTTATAAAATATTCACTGACTCATGAGATATACGTGGCCACTGTTTCAAGTATGTTTGAAATCAGGAGTGATTAAGTTGTTTTTCTGTTTCTACATAAGCTTGTGGGCCAGTGACGTGAGCTTTTGATGACAGTCGATTGCATTCTCCATCACTGGTTTTGATAAGGTGTTTCATTGTCATGTGAATGCACTTTAATTCCCCAAGTTAAATCCCCTCTCAGTGGGCTCCCCTCCATGCCTTCTGTGTTTACATTTCATCTTGTGGTGTCCTATGCAATATTCCAAATTCCTTTGGATAATTACTGGAATTAGTCTTTATCTATCTCTGTTGCTTCACTCCAAGAAAGCAGGCAAGTTTTTTATCCTATATTGGCCTCAGTTCTTTATCTTTTAAACATGTTTCAGGTTCTTTGATGGCAACTTCTGGGAGCAAAGGCCTTACAGGTCTTGATCAGTATTGACCACCAGCTGGTATTAAGAATGGCACAAGTGCTCTGAGACTTTTCCCACTGGCTAGGCCAAAATCCATTAGAGGCAATTACAGGAAGCTTTCCTGGTACTGGCAGTTGGTTAGTTAGTCTGTTCAGTCACTTAGGAAAACATATTACCTTGTAGTTTGCTGGGGTTTAGCATACATTAGCAAAATAATTTTATATTTTCTTGGAGAAAGAAAATAATCCCAATATTATAAAATACAAATATTATCTTACTTTTACTTGCGGAAGTATTAAGGAACAGATGTACAAAATTTGCATAAAATTCTGGGTAGTTGCCTTCACATGGATACACAGTGCTTTCTGGGTAGATGTATGCTACTATGAAGATCAAGGTTACATTTCCCATATATTCAAGTAATTCCATTGGCTGTCAATGAATCAGATGATGCATACCAGGAAGGAAAGCAAATAAACGTCAAGGAATATGTGTTTGTATTCCATACACAGTTGTTACTCTTAAAAAATTTAGTTGAAATTCATCGATTCTTTTTACTTCAATTTCTGATCATTGTAAGAAAAGATCACTTTAAAACTGTGGTATTTAGCGGAAAAGTTTAAATTTATTTGATCAGGAGAAACGGCACATTCTAGAACTGTAGTTTGGGTCTATTTAAGTCCATAGCTAGGGCTAGAGATTTTCATTCTTGGAGTACTTATAAATTTATGGCCTACTTAACCACCAAGTGAACAACCACCACAATCCCAAGTGAGTGTAGATCTTCCCAGATAAAAGCAATGCCTTCTGCAGTCTAGAAAGTGGACCTCTGTTCATCATGATCTCAGTTGCCAGCAGGGCCAGTGTTGTTCATTACGAGAATTTAATCTTCCAGAAAATAGTGTGCATTTTTTCTTTCATGAGATAGACAGTTTTATGCAGACTGAAGCAAATTTTTATATGAATCAGTTACACAACAGATAACCTCTGCATGTAGTCATAGTTGAGTCATGAGTATTTCTCTACATCAAAGGAATGTGAACTATATGTGCAAATGCAAGATTTACAGAATTGAATATTTATAGTGTATGGCATGATATGAGTTTATGTGGTCCCCCTTCTCATCTCCTTAAGGAAAGAATTCTGTGTGTTCTAAGTACAATTTCTTCCAAATAAAATACCTTGAATTCTTATTATTATAAGAAAAAAAGATTACAAGGACGGTATGAATGCTGCATTTATTTTACCAGGAAGAGGAATTTTAATATAGTATATCAAAGGGAAAGGAGTTTTATTTTTATTTTTAATTTTTTTTGCAGAGATTTTTCATGTTAGCATATGTCAATTATAACACAAGGCTGAAAAGGAAAGTTAGAATGCCATAAAAACAGGTGTCTTACTCCTGAACAAAAATGATTTCCCTTGTTTAGGGTGGTCATAGAAGACAGGGCCCAAAGGAGCACAGGTCAATCATGATGCAAATCCTTCTGCATATTTTTGACATTAGTGGCTCAGTCTGGTAGGCTTCACATGTATCAAATTGCCTTTGACATGAAGGTATACTTAATGTCACTAAAAGTTAAAATGTATAACATAGATTGGATTTTTCAATATCAAGCCTGCTTATGTAATTCAAAGCAATCATCTCTTAGAACAGATTGGGATGGATTTTGCTTTTTTCCAATTCATTTGAGAATCTTTCTTTGAAACCATTCTGCCCCTTACTTTTAGATAAAGAAAAACATAATTTTATATTTTTATCTATTATAAGGATTCTGCTTATCATAAACTCATTAAAATTTTGTATCTATTAATGTTTAGTATATCTCTATAGTTAAATTTAAATAGAAATATTAGTACATACAGTGGAGTTCAGGTAATTATTAGTGAGGGGCCTAAATCTCAATAGGAAGAGCTCCTGATAAATGGAAGTTTGAGAAACTCTAAGAGGAAAGAGCATTTTTCAGTTTCCCCAGAGAGAAAACCTTGGGGTGGAGATAGGATTTCAAACTACAGGTTTTCCAATTTAGGAAAAAGAAAAAGAGAAAAGATAATTCAGAGAGAAGACAAGTAAAAGAATAATGCAAGGGGAGGAAGCTCTCAAAGTTGAAATTTTGATAAAGGGGAAGCAAATCTCATCGGTTGCTGCTTCTTAGTTCAAGGTTTCCCTGAATAATGTATATAACTAACTTAAAAAGCATGGGGTCAGTGACTTTTATCCGTTGTTATTACCAAAATGATATTTCACCTCAATGCCATCCCTATGATCTTTATACTGTTTTCATTTTCAATTATTTGTGAACCAGGCTGCTATCAAACTCAAGTCTACCACACCCCACAGGCATGTATTAACACATGACAAGAGCAAAGACGCTAAGATGGGAAGAACATAGACAAAGTCAGTCACAACTCCAGCACCGCTCAGGTGAACTGTATTCACTAACATGTCCTGAAATATGAGAAAAGTTGCAAATGTGGTCCAAATGAGAGATCTTGGAATAAAAGAAGATGCTGTAAAACTAGAGCCCAGCTAAATTTGCTGTACATCTTGAAAGGAGGAATTGTATATTATAACAACTCTGGAATCATAAGATCTCAGTGATTCTCCAGCAAAGCTCTATGAAAGACTGTAAGCCTGTTGTTTTTGAGTAATTAGGGGGGGAAGAAACAGAAAGGAATAATTAGTTAGAAAAAATATTCCTTATAAAAAAACAATAATGATTATTAGACATAGCCCATGTTAAATATATTGATTTCAATGGTCAAGGGAATTTTATGGACTTAACATTGGTTTATGTGATGTTCAAGATAGTGGGGGACAATATTCAGCTATTATTTTGTCGTTATTTTTACAGATGACAAAATTCTCTGGGTGCTGGATAATTTGCCTAACTAAGGTCATGGAAGTAAAGGAGAGGCAAGCCTTTTGTCCTGGGTTTTCTGGCCACACCCATGCTTTCCCCTCAGGCCTGTCTGATAGTAGAATCTTTGGAGTCCTTTTTCATTGAACTGAGAAGGGAACAGAATTCTTAGTATCTTAATTCAACAAATCCTGTGGTGATATGCATATGAGATCAGAAAAGGTGGCTAGATGATGATAAACTGTAATTTTAATTTCAGGATAAGACGTTATAAATGACAACACCTTATATGATATAATTATTGACACATATTGATATGATATAATATGATAATTATTATTTTATTATTTATGTGGCAGGCACTGTGCTAAGTGCTTCTTGTATATGAGCTTATTTAATCCTAAAATATTATCTTCATTTAATTATTGGGTAATAAGGTTCAGAAAGACTAGTTTACCAACCCAAATCATACAACTAAATAATGACAGACCCAGGAAAGGATGCTAGGCCTATATAACTTCAGTGCTAACCCATCAACACTGTCACCTAAGGGAAAAATGCTCTCAAAATCAGAGTCCTTGACCACTTTATTCTACAAGAGTATGTATCACTAAATTCAAAAGCAGTTGGGTTTGAGGATGAGGATGGGTGAGAGGTTCACATCAGAATTCCGTGTTTTTTAAAAATAAGAATAAATGGTTCATTTTAGAAAAGTTGTAGATTTGCAGAAAAGTTACAAAGAGTAGAGTTTCTATATGCCCCCCCAACACACACACAGTTTCCCTATTGTTAATATCTTAGATATTTGTCACAATTGTGGGTGTTATTTTAAGAAAGCTCCTTAAATATTATAAAATAATAATGTATTTGAAAAATTAAAACTGCACATAATTTAGACAATGATAGCAAAATTTAACAAAAATCTTCTCTTTCAGTGGGGATGAGTAGGAGGTATAAATTCCACTTCATGTTAGAAATTTGTAACTAGAAAAGGCCAGAGAGCCTTCTTCCCCAAAGGGTAACCAAAAATCAGGTAGTGAGATTTTTATATGCAATATAAGAAAACATTGGTAAAAAAGAGAAAAATGCTGATTTGGATGTTTATTAAC